AGCTGGTCCTGACGCGCCGGGCCGGGGCTAGAAAGGGGCGCCAGGCGAGCGCCGCGGACTCCCTCGCCCCTCCACGGTCGCTTCAGTCTCCAGCCTATGCTCCCACCCCACCCTGCGTCGCCTGTGCCAGCTGGAGGGGCTGCGGGGCCACTCAGTGGGAAGAGGTCTCAGCCGAGGACTGGGGGCTCGGGACTGTCTACACCGCCTCCAACGACAGGATGCCGGGAGCTGACTGCGCGCTCCCCGGGCGGCCCGGAGCGGGCGGGGCGGGCGGTTGCTTTCCCGGCACCGGAGCAGGAGCCAGAGTGAGAGGGCGAGGTCACCTAGGAAGCACCCAGAGACACCTGGAGCGCACGACGTGGGTTACACTCTCCGTCCTCCTGCTTTGACTCACGACTTTTATTAGCATCTCCGGGTAGAACATAGACTCCCAGACTTCCAAGGAAATGGCCTAATCGTAATCTGCTTTGATAATTTATGAGACATCTTTAGAGCTTTATGGAAAAAAAAAATGATTCGCCTTTGCAAAATGATTTCCCCTAATACTATACCCTCCCCCTGGGAAGAATTCTAATGCCTGCAAAGTATCATACTTAAGATGATTATAATGGATTTTTTTTTCCCAGATAAGAACCAGAGCAGTGTCAATTTGCAGTCAGGCCCTGTGTGAGCAAGCTTGTCTTATCGGTAAGGTGAGGGTATTTAGTATCCTGCTCAGTAAACCAAGGGAAATGAATATCCGTTTTTAAACTCGCTGGTGAAGGCTTTATTTTGATCATTAGTTAAACCACAATGTGCTATACTTCCGGTGTGCATATCTTTACATATACACCTTCTAAATTACTAAAGCACCTGTGATTAATGGTCTTTAGAACTTCCTTTATAGACTGCTCTCTGGAATAAACTTCAGATCCTGGAAGGAAAAGGAGATGTCCTTTTAAAAATTAACATTTAAAGTCTGTTGTTTCACGTGGTTTAAAAAACAACAAAAAAAAAACCCTACCGTACTAAAAAAAATCTCCCCAATGTTTAACTTGCACGTTAAAGCTTTTAATTTTTAGGAATACACTACATCGTGCAAGATAGAAGTCTGCCTGAGTCTTAGGACATCCTCTCAACTAAATAAATCTATTCTATCGGCCACTTCTTGACACCGGAACCGTACTATTAAAAATGCATACCTTGGGTCTAAGAATGTTGGTGTTAGAAGTCAGGATATACTCCTTCCCTCCGGAATAGTTTTGACTATGAAAGGGACTAGGTGGCTGGTGGGGGGCAACAATCCACTTCATGTGGGTGCTAATTACAGGGCTGTTTCCCTGTGAAAATTTATGGTTACACTTATGGTTTGTGCTCTTCTCTGTATGTATTTTGTTTTCCAGTACCAGGGATCAAACTCAGGACCTCGTGCTTGTGAGGCAGGCACAAAACCACTGGCTAAATCCCCAGGCCTGTTTCTCTGTATTTTATACTTAGACACCTTAGAGTATTTCTAAATATTCAGAAGCTTCTAAGTGTTTGCCCTGTGCAGATAGTGTGAGAGGTAATTAAAATCCATCGAAGTTATTATCTGATAATAGCTTTGCTTATTTTATAATGACAACAAACTTTTTCCATAGTTACTAAGGGTTGTTGTACTATCATTTTTGTTGTTGCCGTTGTTACTGTAACTGTGAGTTTCTCTTTCTGGTTATCAAAAACACAAATCTATAAAATGTTGCTCTAAGTTCCAAGGTCATGTGGATAAATGTCCTGTTGTATTTGGGCTTGAGATTTTTGAATGCCCTCCCCCCCACCCGCCCCGCACTTGCTTACAGTAAGTCTCTGGTCATACCTGGTCAATCTGTATGTAACCACACTCTCATAGAATGATTCAGTCATTTTCCAGGTTGGTGTTAAAAAGTAAAGTGAAGAATGTGGGAAGGAGCCTGGCAATTCCTCAAAAAGTTAAAACTGAATATGGTGGCACATGCCTATAATCTCACCTACTCAGGAGGCTGAGGCAGGAGGATCACAAAGTTTGAGACCTGTCTGAGCCCAAAATAAAAAATGTTTTAACAAAAGCAGGCTGGAGATGTAGCTCAGTGGTAGAGGACTTTCCTGCCATGCCCAAGACCCCCAGGTTTAAGTCCCATTACAAAAAAAAAAAAAAAAAAAAGTTAAATGTAGAGTTTCAAAAGATAGATGAATGCATAAACCAGTGGAATATCCATCCAATGGAATGGCTTCATCAGTAAAAAAGGAATGCAGTAGGCGTACACGTCACAACAAGGAGGAACCTTGAAAACATGAAATAAAAGAAAGCAATCACAAGATTACATATTGTATGATTCTATTCATATGAATGTCTAAACCAAAAACCCACACAGCTAGAAAGTAGCTTAGTGGTTATTGAGGGCTGGATAAATTGGGAGGTGGGGAACGCACAGTAGTAGAATAGGGGCCTTCTTCTAAGGTGATAAAAAGTGTTCTAAAATCACTTGTGATGATTGCACAATTCTGTAATATTCAAAAAACCATGAATTTTACGCTTTGTGTGAATTGTACTTATGTGAATCATATCTCAATAAAGCTGTGACCAAAAATAAAATAAGGAAGAACCTGTAGAAACCTGGACCAAACACTTCATTAACGTAGGCAAAAAGTTCAAGTTAACCCACCATAATTGCATTCTATTGTTTGGTGGAACCCAGCTGCCAATTCGCCTCAAGATCAAAGCTAAATTCCAGGGAGCTTCCATGTACCTCCCACCAGCTTTCCCTGCCTGGGCCTCATTTTCTAAGCACTGCACTCAGAGACTGCTCCAATGAGGGGTCTGCCCTCTGCTCCTGTCTCTCTGGACATTTTCAAACAAACTCCTCAGTTCCTTCCACACTCTTTAGCAGGCCCAACCTGCCAGCTAATGAAAGGAGGTTATCCTTGTCAGAGTGGAGCTGCTAAAGAAATTCTTTCCTCAAAACACATTCTCTGGCAATCTGCCTCCCGCTGTTACGTTTCACAAGAAGAGAGGAGATGCCCTGAGTGGAATCTCCAGGCCCTGGTTAATATGGCGGCTTGAGGGCCACGTCTCAAAGTGTGCCCTGCAGCCCACAGAACCTTGCTGAGAGAGGAGGGTGACAGGGTCGATGCCAAAGTGTGAGCTCATGGGCTTCCTCACATGCCGATGAAACCCTCTGAACTGGAGGGGTAGGGAAGAGACTATGGACAGCAAATTTTGTAGGAAGGAGATTTGGTTTAAAAGCACAGTTACATGAAAATATGGGGAGGGAAGTGTTGCTAATGCCCAGCCAAGCACCGAAGCCAGATAACTTTTAGGCACTGGAAGGTTTAGATCCCTGGGTTCTAAGGGAAAGGGCACAAGATCAGAAGCCAGACATTCTGGAATCAAGCCCCTCCTCGGCTCTGTGACCTTGAGCTCATCCAAAGCTCATCTGCCTGCAGTTGTTCCATCTGCCTGAAATTGGGCTTGCCATTAATTGGCTTTCCCTCAGTTTGAGACTTTAAAATTCAGATGTTCTAATCACCATGGTTTCTCAGATGACCAGGAGAACAAAGGCTAACAAAAGCAGGTAATTGGGGTTGAAAAAATTAAATTTACAGACCCAAAATATCCAGGACAAGGACAGCCAGATTTTTTAAAAATTAAGACAGAAAAAAATGAATGAAAAACTGAGCAGAGCTCATCAAATGAGACACCACATTTTTCAGAAATGGTGTGCACTGGTAGTTAAGGATTGCTAATGCCTCTCTGCCTCTCTGAGACAGTCTTATTTATT